ATAGGGCCAAGGAAATGAGGCAGTCAGAAATGCATTTGGAAGACCCTGCAGTAGGGGAAAAGACTGGAGCAAAGACAAAGACAAAAACACTAGCCCAGGGAAGAGGGAGGGGCATGGCCTTAGTCACTGGTACTTAGCTCTTCCTGAAAAGGGAGACACAGAAAGGTCATGGGCCCAACTTGCTTCCCAGCCATCCAACAGCCTCTTTCCTTCTTTCCTCCTGGGCCAGCTCTAGCCTGGACCCTTGTACCCTCTCCCCGCACACTCCTATGCCTTTTCAACTCTGCTCCAAGGCTCACCAGGGTCAGGCTTGCTGACAGCAGAAAAAAACATGGGCTTGACTCCTCTGTGTCATACAGTCATGGGTCTCCCCTTCCTCTCTCTTGCCTTCTACATAATTTCCCAGCTCTCCTCCTGGATTTCCTCCTGTCTCTTTCAGGGCTGAGGCCTATGTGTAAGGTCTGCCCAGTAACCCCAGCTGCCTAAACAGGCCATGGAGTCTGGGAGTGAGTGTAAGGCACAAGGGTTTTGGAGTCTAACAAACTGGCTTCGCAACCCAGCTTCTCCATTATTAGCTTTGCCTGTCAGGTGGGCACAGCATTACCAGTCGACTCACTGTGTTTTTGTGGGGATCACAGGAGGTACTATGTGTGGAGGGATTTAGCATTGTACCTCGCACATGGCTGTAGTTACTGCTTTGTAGATGGAGAAACTAGGGTGGCAAGAGAATAAATGACTTGCCCTGCCTGGTGGTTTTGTGCCCCAGGATCACAGGGCCCTGCCTCATTGACAGCCTAGGTGCGCAACCACTGGTCAATGAGGAGATCCACCAGCACTGGGGGCCACTTTGCCTAGCTGTGTCCCTTCTAGAAGTAGCAGCACCAATAAAACATCAAGGAGGGCCTCCGTCTGGTATAAAGGTAAGCTGGGCTAATGACACCCACCATGGGCTGTTCGGTGGCTAGCCCTGGACAGGCAGGTGTGTTCCCAAAATGCAGGGTTATCTTGTTCAGTTCTCCCAATAGCATAGCACATTCTGATCTGTGCTGGGCACAGGCCTGTGTCGAATAGTGCTAGCACAGAGCCAGCCCTCAGGGAAATTGGGATGAGTGAGCTTGAACATGTTGGTTTCAAAGTTGCCTTCTCTGACTCAGTCATACAGACTGGCCCCATGCACCATGGGCACAGTGAACACAGCAGATGTCCCAGCAGATAAGCCTTAATAAGAGTAAAGGACTCCCTGGGTCCCTGGAAACCCTGCTGGAAGCAGGCAGCACATGGGAATTTAAGGCCACAAGTCCTGCCACATGGATCCCAGGGCAAAGCTGTGCTGAGAGTGCCAGCTGCCCTTTGGGAGTCTCCTCCATAGTGTGGGGAACCAACAGCCCCTTCTGTATACTTTTCAAAGCAGAGGGTCTTCGAAGAGTGTTCTGGGAAGCAAGGCCAAGACTCCTAGGTTCTCATAAATATTTTAATAACAGTAAATGAAGAAAACATTCTAACAGTAAGTCCCATGATGAGGGTTACTTTTGGGATCTTCAACAACAAAACCCCTAAGACTAAAATATTCATACAATGCTAAGTACACAAATTAATGACCATTTATTTCCAAAGGTGACTGCAGAAACCATTTTGGTACAATCAAAAGGTTATAGAAAACAGGGAAAACATTACAAAATGCCCCAAGAGGTGAGGAAACTGGTGGGGGCACAGAGCGCCCAAGAACCAGCTTGGCAAAAATACTCACCCTGCCGCTGTTTAGGGGAGATTATAAAGACTGGTCCTAAAGGGAGCCATAGTACGTTGCAATCTGTCTTGGGAATGAGGAAGGATGTGGGGAGGGGAGTGGTAAGAGGGACAAAGGCATTTGCCAAATTCCTGGCAGAAATAATTACAGATCAGACTATCTCATTCTCTCCACCACAATAACACTAACATAAAATGAAGAATTCTTTAAAATATCATACAAAACTGATACCAAAAGAAAGCCAGTTTCCAAAACAAGAGCTTTACTTAAAATGACTTGTTTTGTTTCGTGCCACTCAGTAGCAAACCAATGTACAAAAATGTCACAGACAAGAGCAATAACTATGACTAGGTTTTCCTGAGCACAAACTGGCTCAGTCTATATACAGAAGAGGAAGGCTCACTACCAATCAGGACTCTACCCCCCCCAGAGGGCAGGGCAGGGCAGGGCAGGGCATGCAGCAGGAAGAACCCTTCTCAGCCTTGTCAAGGAGCATGCAAGGGCCTGAGGGACCCCCTCTCTTATGCCTGCCCCAAATTTACCAGAACCAGCACCACACTTGCATCTTATCTTGCAGTGTCATGCATAGCCCTTCTTTTCTCCTCCCATACCTCCCCTTCAGTCTTTCAAAGAGCACATGATCAACATCTACAGATACAGGGAAGTCTTTTTGGCCAAGGGAGCAGTGGGAAGGGCCTTGTGCCACCCACTTAGCCACCCAGCTTACTCAGAGGACACCACCCTGCCCCAACACCAGTGCCAGGAGACCTGCTGACAATTTGTTATTTTGGGGAAGCTGTGCCCACTCCCCAAAACACTGAATAATCAATGAGCACAAACAGCAAAGCTCTAGCCAAGGCTCCAGCAAGACAGATGATCTGATACCAAGATTTGTGGTACTGGACGGTAAAGTGCGCTGACTACCCTACTTATCCCAACCACCCTGCAAGCAGCTTCTGTGAATGCTGAGAAGTTCAAGGAGAAAGAGGGAGTATTGCCTTGTGGGGAAGAAGTCTGTGCTTTTCTCACAAGCTCACAGAGGTATGCATCCCTGGGAATAAGATGGGCCAGATCATCTTTGGTGTGCAAAACCAAATACTGAGACTGCAAGCAGGCATGACCATATTTCTGCTATTCTGAGCTGATGCCACAAGTTGGGCAGCTGACCAGACTGTTCTCATTGGCCCAGATTCTTGGCCAAGGCTACTCAGGGGCTTGAGGGAACGCTCATTTCTCTTCTAAGGGCTTTTTAAAAAGAAACTGTCCACTTCTACAAACACTCTCTCAAACAAACATCGAATTCCCACATGCTGGCTAATGACATATGGAAACTTGGCCAGGATGGTTGGGGAACCTCCTTGGCACTGAAAGGAAAGCCCTGGGGAGGAGCTGGGATTCCTGGGACCAGTGGTAAGAGTGCCACCCTCCAAGGCAGGTTGCCATGGTTCTGGCCAGGTTACCTTTCTGCACGGGCTTGGCACAAGGTAAGAGTTAGGTACAGACCAATTCAGATATACACTGCTCCCTGGCACCTCAAACAGAGCCCCTGACTCCCTGTGAAGCCTCCGAACTAGGCTCACTCTCTGTTCCTTCTACCTACATGTTTCTTGAGCCAATCTGGCCCTCAGAAGCCATGTATCTCTTCTTCATTTCCTCCTTTCCCGGACAGATGAATCTGTTTCTGGCCTGGCCAGGGCAGGCATATGACTTTCACTTTCTTCTTTCCTTCCAAGCAGCAGAAAATGGCAGCCAGATTGGGACACTGAGCTACAGCCAGAGCAAAAGCAAGCCTTCACAGGCATGGCAACGCAGGAACAGCTCAGACTGACTGGCAACCTGTGCCGTGCCATTCAGACAGAGAGAAAGAGAGCTCATTCAGAGTCACTTATGCCACTGTGGCCAGCTGGGGCACAGCATCTGCCTACAAAGACTCCATGTACTGGCACAGGACAGGGCAGGCCCCCAAAGGCTTTACCCATGGCTTCCTTCCAACTTTTCCTTTGTAAAGAAGCCAAGGGGCACTGAAGCCTTGCACATTTCCTCATCAGCCCATCCTACACACAGCAGTTTGATGGTGGGCAAGGCAAATCCAGCCAATCAAAAGGTACCTCTTCTGGAAGGTAACCCTAGGGTGAGAGGCACTAAGAAAAACGTGTCCAAGCCCTCAAAGACAATAGACAATGAAGGTTACATATCATGAGAAGCTCATGGGGACTAAGAGTACCCAGTGTTCTCCCTCATGTTCCCCCACATCCTGGGGATTGATTGCCTAAGTGCCAGCAGGCCTCTGCAAAAGGGTGGTTCCATGGTTGCTTCCCTGGGCCTCACCTTGCTCAGAGAGACTCTCCTACATTCTCCTGCCTCCTGTAGGTCCATTTGCTAAAACCATGACCAGTGAGTCACTTAAGCTCAATCTATATCCAATACAGTAACACCTGAAATATTGGAACTGACCCAGGGCAACTGGGTTGCCTAGAGGAGGAGATGGAAGGGCAGGCCCACCAGAGGAAGTCACTGAACCATCTTTTCTATTCTTTTTTTTAATTTTTTTATTGATTTATTAGAGAGAGAAGGAGAGAGAGAAATGTTGATGTGAGCAAAAAGTATACATTGGCTGCCCCAAGCATGCCCCCTGCTGGGCATCAAGCCCAAAACCTGGGCATATGCCATAACCAGGAATAAAACCGGTGAGCCCTCAGTGCATGGGATGACTCTCAACCAACTGAGCCACACTAGCTAGTGCTCTTTTCTGTTCTTAAGCAAATCTGTTCTTAGTATAACCTAACAAAGAATCAGCAAAAGCCCAGCCAGTGCCTCCCTTCTTGAGATCCATGCATAACTGAGCTCAAGTCTTTCAACAAAAGGACTTCCATTTGAAGCACTTAAATCTCCACCCATGGAGACCTGATTCTTTCATAGCTCCCTTTCTACCTAGACATGAGCTTTGGAGTGGGTAGGGTGGGGAGCATGTGATGCTTCCCATGCTAAACAATTCAGCTCTGACTCTGGCTATAGTGATGACATCTGGTCCTATGAATACAGCACCAGCAGGATCTTCCCCAAACCTGGATGATGATATATTCTATAAAACCACAAAATGTATCAACAAGAGCCCCTCCAGAGACAGGCCCTGATGCAAGGATTCTCCAAGCTCAAACATCCAAAAACAAGTGAGGAAGCAAATAAGTCAAAAAAAAAAAAATATATATATATATATATATATATATATATATATATATATATATTTAGAAAACAATAACAACAACAAAAAACCCAACTCTAGCTCATCCTTCCCTGAAGCTGCCTTTTAAAAGAGACAGAACATTTAAAGGACACTCAAGATTAAAGTGGCATCTATTATCAACATTAAACTAAAATGGAACATATGATTCAAATCACTATTTTCTGAAGTTACCACTTCTATTGGCTAATTTCTATGCTCATTTCTGATTGGAATATGGGTCAGTTCTCAACTCTCACAGGCAGAATGTACCCAGGGTCCTGCCCAGTATTAGCTGTGGACATTTTAACCTTGTTCACTTTGGATTTGCCATTGCAGTAGCTCTCTATCCTCCTCAATGGAATTAAGCCCTTGGGCCGGGTAGTGCCCTACCTCCCACTGCAGGCAGCCTCCTGGAGAATATGTCTGGTTGGCTGTTTGTTCTGAGTCATAGAATACCAATGGGAAGAATCTGGCCAGTTCTATTTTGGCCATGAGCTGGGAAATCCCTTGGCTCTTGGCTTTCTGCTGGTATAGAAACAAGGCTCCAGTCCCCTTATGGTGAGGGCTGTGCTGGAGACAAAAGGGGACCCCAGCAAAAACCTGTTGGTCCCTGGCAGTGGGGAAATGAAACAATCATTCTCATCACTGCGATGCCAAAAGAACTGCTGCTTGTTGTTACCGTTCTTCTCAGCCAGTTGTTGTTAAAGCACCAACAAGCAGAGTGAAAGCTACTAACTACTGTCTCCCCCATGTAAGGCCACTGGGAGCAGGGAGAAAGAGCAAAGGGGAGGAGGACAAATCGACCTGTCAGCACTACACCCCAGGTTCCAGGTGACATCCTGGGAGGAAGAGTTGGGGAAGGAAGAGTGGTGGAAGAAAGGGACAGAGAGGAGGAAAAAAGAAATATACCAAATATCCTACTGCTCTCTCCCATGATTTCATTAAGAACTGGGTGTTCTCCAAGTCAAGTCAGGACTTGTTTCCTCAGTGAGAAAAAAAAAAAAAAGCACCTTCAGTCTATTTTCTTGGCTGGAAGCCGGAGCAAATCCAGCAGATATTTATACAAGGGCCCAACCATGTATGAGAACAGGATGACCAGCTTCCCGTGGGTCATGGTCATGAGAGTCTGGTGTCCCGAGGCCCAGATGCGATACCAGGGGCCGTAGAATGGGTCTGAGATGGCCGGACACAGCATGTTGTTCAAATTCACTTCGGTGACCTGCAGGGACAAGGGAGGTAGAGTGAGCGTTCACCATCCTTAGGCTTTCTCTGGCTGCTGCCAGTTCAGCCATGTCTACGTAAAGAGGGACTAGACAAGTAGGGATTGATAAATCCCCACCTGTTCATAATAGAATTTCTCTCCCCTAGGTTTTATGAGGGGGTCAAGGCTAGAGTCCCCCGGAGGTGATGGGGAAGGCCGTCCACTGGAAGAGCTGTTTGATTTTGCTCCATCTTGCCTTCTGGGTTGAGCATAGGGCCCATTGCTGTTCCTAAGCATCTACTAGATCCTGAAGAGGTGTTATGGGAGAAAAGAACAGTCAACAGCATGGTCCCTGCCTCCACATAACTGGCAACCAATCAAGTTGTGGTTATCAGTGCACCACATCTGACCTCAGACCAGGTGGAGCTCATTGGTTTTCCCCACCAGGAGATCTGCAGAGTGTACAGAATGGGGGCCAAGTCTTCAGGAAAGATTTCATGAAGGAAGTGGCACCTGAATGGACTCATGAAGGATGGATGGGGATCATGACAAGGAATGGAGTAAGCAGAGCCTTCCTTGTAGGAGGCATGGCCTGAGACAGGCCTGGAAGTGGGACTGAGTATGGTGACATGAGGACACTGACTCCTCTGGAATCAAGGAGATCCAGTGCAGTGCAGTATGAATAAGGGTGTGAAGGTCATACTGCTTCATTGCTATTGTGCAGGAAGCATGCACAGCTTTGGAAAGGAGCTCAAACCACACCCCAAAGTAAACCAGAGTAGAACAATATGCCAGGGTGGGGGAAGAGAAGGTAACTACTTCTACAAAGGCACTGGTGACATCAGTCACACACCCTCATCCTACCAGGTCCCATAATGCTCCACACCGGTAATGCTACATTACTGCCACTCGCACACAATACCAGGCATGTCACTCCTGCCCCAAGAATGGCCACAGCACTTTCCTTCCAAAGCCCTTCAAGCCCATTCATATCAAAAACAAGTCCTCACCTCCTGTTGTAGAGGTTGGGGGTTTTGTGCCAACCTGTCACAGGGGGGTGGACAGCTCTCTCCCCTTGAGGATGAGGTGACTCACCCAGAGCAGTGGCAGAGCTAGGGACTTGGGTCTCCTGACCTCCAGCCCAAGCCCTGAGCTCTTCTTATTCATTTTGCCACCAACAGACACCCATGCACTCAGCAATCTTGGGCTCTGGAAAACTCAACTACTGAGTCTAGCCATCATCCATCTTCTGGGCAGGTCTGAACATCCCAAAATGCCACAGGGGTACCCTAACACCACATTTCCACTGGCCACATAGCTCTGGGAATAGGCCCAAAAGCCTACCCAGGCCCAGAGTGAGGGTTAGGGTCCTGCCTCCCCATGGGATCCTACAGCAAACCACTTCCCAGTTGCAGCTCAGTGTTTGTGACCCAAGTGGCCATGAGTGAAAGGCGGCAGCCTTGCCTCCCCATGGATGAAAGAAACAGCCATTACTGAAGTATTCAGAAAACTCTTTAGAGAAGCCAAGGTTATAGATAATAAATCAGCAACCCAGACACAACAATCTGAAGTCCTGGCCTTTGGTACCTTGTATTTTCAAAACAAAACGATACACCAGCGCCAACCAGGATTATCAAGATTTATGGAGAACTCCAAACAAAGGGGATGTAAGGGGATAGAACCAAACTTACCAGGCCCAGGATCTGTAAGATGCTGAAGTGATAAAAGAACATGAGGCCAGTTGAAAGAAGGGCCCACCAGAAACTGCTGAGGGGCTCTGGGGTGTAAGCACCTGGAGGAAAAGGGGAGATGGTGAGATAGCAGGGTTGGTGACCCATTTTTCCTCCTTTGCCCCACGAGGTGCAGGTGCTGAGGCCACAGTTGCTGCCTGATGATTATCCCCTTTCACTCCTTAATGACAGCTACCTAAGAGACAGCCTCACTATCTGGGTACTCCAATCAGCCCCTTCCCAACCTCTGCGCTGTCATGTAATGCTAGAGCCATTACAAAAAGAGGAGTTATATATATATTGTAAAAGTAATAAAATAAAATGTGACTAGAATTGAAATATGCTATAATTGTAAAATACACAAATTTTGCATATGAAAAAGAATGTAAAATATCTTAATTTTTATATTGATTACATGTTGAAATGATATTTTGAACATACTGAGTTAAGACATCATTAAAACTTAATTTAAAAAAGCAATACATGCTCATTAAAGAATATTTAGAAAATGTTAAAAGGTAGAAACAAGATGGATGAAAAGAGGAAAAACATCCCCAGCACTCTTATTATCCAAATGCAACTACTGCTAGGCCAGGGGTGTGTCTCCTTGGTTCTTTTCTCTATGCCTTAGGAGCTCCTTTTCTTTCTTTTGCAATTACTAATTGGTATTTTACTGTATATATAATTGCATATCCTTTATTTCCACATGTTTTATCTTTATTTTTGAAAGTATTACAGATGTCCCCCCCTTTTTCCCCATTGACCTCCTCCTCCCCACTCCCACCCCTTCCTGCTTTCCCCAAACTGTTGTCTACATCCATTGGTTATGTATATATGCATCTAAGTTCTTTGGTTTATTGTTCCCAATCCTCCCATGCCCCTTCCCTCTGAGATTTGTTAGTCTGTTCCCTACTTCCATGTCTCTGGATCTATTTTGATCGACAATTTATTTTGTTCATTATATTCCACAAATAAGTGAGATCATATGGTATTTGTCTTTCTCTGAATGGCTTCTTTCGCTCAGCATAATACTCTCCAGTTCTCTCCACATTGTCTCAAAGGGTAAGATATCTTTTTTTCTTACAGCTGCATAGTATTCCATTGTGTAAACGTACCACAGCTTTTTTTTATCTACTCATCTACTGATGGGCACTTAGGCAGTTTCAAGATCTTAGCTATTCTAAATAGTGCTGCTATGAACATAGGGGTGCATATATTCTTTCTGATTGGTGTTTCAGGTTTCTTAGGATATATTCCTAGAAGTAGAATCACATTTATTTTAATCACTCCTTCATGTTTCAGAAGAGAAATGTCATTTATTGGGTATGGCATGGTGGTTAAGAATGTTCACTTTGATGTCAGACAGATATGGTTTTAAATCTGGATTCTATCACTTACTGGCTGTGTGACCTTGAAAAAGTTGTTCAAACTCTTCAAATGTCAGTTAAATTTTATCTAAAATGGGGATGATATTATATTATATCATATCATGCCACCTACTTCTTAAAGTTGTTGTGAGGAGTAAAGGGCATAATATTTTGACAGCTCTTAGAGCAAGATCTGTTACAATGTAGGTGTGCAATGCATGTTAGATGTTATAATCACCACATCATTATTATTATTGAAATAACTGAAGAATGTGCCACATCCAATGCTTGTACAATGTTTCAACTGCTAGATAACCCCTTCCCATGGTACAGCAAGAATGATATATGTTCTCTCTATCATCAGTAAGAACTACCATCCCAGTAGGCTTAGATGTATTTCAGAGCTTACAGGGCAGGGGTATGGTTTATAGAATGTTCTGAGTGTCACTCTGAATGGAGATTTGGAGGGGAGTGGTCCAGAACGAAAGGAACCTGGAACCCTCTACCCCTAGCAAGTAGGTAGCAACATTACATCCTGCAGTAGTATTTTCCCAAGTAAGTCTTTCATTGATTCATCCATTCATTCATCAGTTATTAGCACCTATTTTATTCCAAGCCCTGTGCCAAGCTTTGGGTATAGGAAGATAAAGAAGAAAGGCTCCCTGAAATCTCAGACTCACAGTCTGTCAGGGAAGAAAGACAAGCCAGTCAAGAATTATAAACTTGTATGATGGGTGCGGTGACCAAGGTCTGTGCCACATAGCATTATGGAAGGACAGAACTCAACTTTGCAGGGAAGGTGTGAAAACAAGGACTACTTCTTGGTTCCATGGGCACAGAGTTCTGAAGGACAAATAGCACTTAAGGAGGGGCCTGAGTATGCCAGCGCAGCAGCCTACATGAAGGCAGATGTGAGTGGGGAGCCAGACAATTCAGAGAACCATGGGTAAGAGCTGGGGTCACAAAGGAGAGTGTGCTGGGGTAATGAGCAGAAGTAAGATTTAAGAGATTGGCATAGCTGGCTTGCTCCAAGCTGGGCCACATAGGACTTTAGGAGACAGGCTGAGGGCTTTGGGCTCCATACTGTGCTGCAGGATCATGAGCTCAAATGTCTCAAGTCTCATGTAAGGAATCCGAAGCAAGTGAGTGACCAGGGACAAAGATACATTAGGGATGCTAGAGACTGGCCAACTGAAAAGCCCTTTTTAAAGAGGGCAACCACCACTCAGCTCCAGTCAATCATTGTCCTGCAGGGATGTGGGCCCAGAGTTGCCAGGTTTTTTTTGTTTTTGTTTTTTTTTTCACTTTTGCAAGAGAAGGCAGAAATATGAACTTTCAGGTAGAATTTCCTGATTTCTAAATGTTGGCAAATAATTCAGAATGTTTTAAGCAAGCTCAATGGACCAAACAAAAGATATCTTCTTAGACAGATTTCAGTCCATGGGTGGCAAACTTAGAGCTCTGCTGCAGAGCCACAGAAAACAGTAGAAAGTTTGAATCTGCAAAGTGATGTGATCAGATGTGTGCTTCAGAAAGATCACCCTGGCCCACTAGTGTGTGGGGATGGTCTGGAGCAGAGGAAGCAGAGGCTAGGAGACTGATAAGGAGACTGCTGCGGGAACCTGAAAAGGGAAGAGGATGGATAGCCTTCAAAGGTAACAGCAGTAGTGCTGGAGAAACGTGGAGGAAAATCACCAGGAAGTGGTAGAAGATTAGATATTGGGAGGAAGGGTGAGGAAGGATCTAGGAAGACTCCCAGGCTTATAGTTTGGGCATCACTGGTTTCATAGTGCCATTTATTGCAATGGAGAAGATAGGAAAAGGCGGACTGGGGAGAAGGCAGGGAAACAAGAAAGCCAGTTTTAGACATGTTGAAATTGAGGTGTGTGTGGAGCATCTTAATGGAAATATCTTCTCGATATCTGGATGCACAACGGGAAATGCAGTGTGATGGGTGACAGTGTAGGCACTGGATCCTGGCAGATGCAAGTTTTCAAATCCTGGCTCTTGTCACTTATTAACTCCAAGGCCTTGAGCAAGCCTCAGTATCTCTTGAATTCAGTTTCACTCATCTACAAAGTGGGGTACCACTGCTCACTTCACAAGGTTGTTGGACAGATGAGATAATTTTAGTAATGACTGTATTGTCAAAGCTGAGATTTGACAAATGCTGATTATTTTTATTATTACAGGCATACCTCGGAGATATTGCAGGTTTGTTTCTAGACTACTGCAAAAAAGTGAGTTACACAATTTTTTTTTTGGTTCCTAGTACATATAAAAGTTATGTTTACATTATACTGTAGTCTGTTAAGAATGAAATAGCATTATATCTTTTTTTTTTTTATTCTCACCTGAGCACATTTTTTTGTTTAGACAGAGTGGGAGGGATAGAGAGGATGAGAGGGAGAGACATTAATGTGAAAGGGACACATCGAGTGGCTGCCTCCTGCACGACCCAACCAGAGCCGGGGACAAACTGCAACCGTGGTACAGGCCCTTAGCGGGAACTGAACCCGGGTCTCTCAGGACCACAGGCTGATGCTCTAACCGCTGAGCCAAACCAGCCAGGGCAGCATTATATCTTTTAAAAAAAACAATATGCCCACTTTAATTTAAAAACATTTATAAAAAATGCTAACCATCATCTGAGCCTTTGGTGAATTGCCATCTTTTTGCTGTGAAGCTCAATAAAGCGAGGTATGCCTGTATATGAATCACAAACTCAGTGAAGAGGACGGGGCTGAACATCCAGATATAGGTGTCATCAGCATGTAATGGTAATTGAAGTCACAGGAGTGTATGTAGAGGCCAAGAGAGGAAGAAAGTGGGAAGCAGAAAAACAAGGGACGCCATGGGGGTGGGGGGTGGCAGTGGAGGGCAGAAGATGAGCAAGATGGGGTGACTAGAGCCAAGCTGGATCTTCTGGGGAGCAGCTCAGTCTTGCTCTCTGACAAGAGGCAGGCTTCCAGCACATCTGAGTCAGAAGGCCCTTTGAGGGTATCAAATTTATCTCTCCATTTTCTAGATGGAGAAACTGAGGCTGGGAGATGGGCAGCATCACAGCCAAAGTCACAATAGCAGAGCACTGGGCCCACAGACATTTCCAGGGGACTCACTGCTCAACGCCCATTGCCATTTGTCCAGATATCCATCACACCAAGTTGTACTGTTTCATCTTTCCTTGTCTAACTATCTAGACAAGAGTGCCTTGGGGTCCAGAACCATGGGGAACTAATTTCTGTGTTCCTAGCATCTAGCACAGTGCTTGGTTTGTGAAAAGATACTGAGCTACGCACTTATGCTTCATGCATTTTCTTATCTGCTAAATGAGTAGGAATTGGGTACCATATTTTCACTCTGGCTGCTAGAGACATAAAGCAGAAGAGGGGACCTGGAGGCCCAACAGGTGCTGAGTCTGCTGCTCATGCCACTCAAGCCCCAAGCCATTTTCCCCAGGTGTCCCTACCCTCCACCCTCTGCTTGGCTCCCCGTAGTATATATAGCTGGGCAGTAAGAACAGGCCCTGTGGGCCAGGGGGTGGATGCAGGAAAGGGATAGATGGGGAAAGTGTCCTCATCCAGGAGGCAGCTCAGCCACACACTTAGGCAAAATTGGGACAAGGCCTCAACCTCTGGACAGCCCCCCTCTCACTGTACTCCTCTCTGCCCTGCTCTGTGATATGGGGAAAAGGA